TAGAGCTACCGAAGGATCTTAGTCGGATCCACAACACTTTCCACGTTTCGCAATTGCGAAAGTGCATTATGGATCAGGAGGCAGTGGTGTCGTTGGATGATATTCAGGTTGATGAGCACCTGAATTACATGGAGAGTCATGTGGCCATACTAGAGAGAAATAAGGTTCTACGGAACAAGGAGATACCTTTGGTGAAGGTATAGTGGGAGCATCATAAGGGATTCAAGTGGATGTGGGAGCCCGATTCTGAGATGCGAGAGCATTAACTGGATCTATTTTCCGTAGCAGACTTCGAGGACGAAGTCTAAGTCAAGTAGGGGAGAATTGTAACATTTTGAGATTTGGCAGGTATTCCCGAACCCTTTTCTATCATTACTTTGTCATTTATAGTCCTTGGGGTTAGAAGTGAAGAGCCAAGATAAGTTTAAGGGCCAAGTTTGCAACTTAGGCCAAGAGGGAGTACCCTGCGTGTACATACGAGTACGCTAAGCATACTAAGGTCCGCCTTAGTACGTTGGGCGTACACTTGTGTACACTGGGCATACTAATGTCAGGGTGAAACCCTAATATTTAGGGTTTGGGGCCTATATAAGCAACATTATGAGCATCAAAACCACCCTTACCTCAGCCTCCACATATTACATTCATCCTCCCCAAACCCTAGCCTTTTCTTTGAGTGTTTAAGCTTGCTTGGTGTGTTCTTGAGTTCTTTAAGAGGAAGCTATTGCATTAAAGAGATGGAGAAGAAGATCAAGCTTGTAGATCTAAAGTTAGCTTGTGCTCAAGAAGCTCCATAAGGTATAAAGTTCCAAACTTTATCTATCTATGCATAGATCTCACCATTATATTTTATTAGAAGTATTTCTTGTCCCAAAAGCCACAAGGTGGTGCATGATGTGATTTGGACGAAAAAGGTTGTCCTTCTAGACTCTTGAAGGGACCTTAAGTGATAAAAATGAGGTCCCATTAGCTGTATGTGTCCCATGCATGAAGAAATAAGGTCTTAATGGATTAAGACCAAGCATTAAGAACTTTATGGATGTCCAAAGTGATAAAGTTCATGACTTTATGGATCCTAGGCATGTTAGGTCTTTGGATCTGAAGTTTGGGCGTAAGTGCTTGAGCCATTAAACACTTAATAAGTTTTTGGCAAACTGTTGAGTACGCCCAACGTAAATCCAGTACGCCCAATGTACCGGGTCAACCACCTCGATGGTCAACATTTGGACGAGTACGCCCCACGTACCAGAGGAGTATGGCCCGCGTACATCCTCTATTGGGCCTTTGTTAAATGGGCTTCAGATTTTGGGCTAGTTATGGATTAAATGGAATTATGACTTTTGCTGGACTATGTAAATAAGTTATTTTGGGATAGTAGTGGTAGTGGATCATGGGGATTAACCCAATTTAGTAAATTGGGCTAATAATGGGCTTTATTTATAGACCTTCAAGTCAAGGAATGGGTATTTGGGTCTTGACCTAATAAAGAGAATGGACTTAATGAATCGTGTGGATATTTAGTCAAGAAGGTTATATTGGGTAATAAGTTAATATTTATTGTGTGATAGTTTGGGATTCCCGGCGAGACAGCAGTCAGAGGTTTACAGTACTTCAACACTACTTGCGATGTGAGTTATCCTCACTATATAAACAGGGTCTAAGGAACCAAGGCCTACCTTTTATGGATTGTCTCCGGTTATGGCATGTTATGTTTATTGGTTTGCATCATGGTAGTTAGGATGAGGTTATGTTTATGCTTAGTGACCTGGTTAGGTCGGTGTCCTGGTTATAGGATGGTATTATGTGATATGCTAGTATGATCTGTTAGATTGATATCCTGATAGATAAGATGGTATTATGTGATATGCTAGTATGATTTGTTAGATTGGTATCCTGATAGATAGGATGGTATTATGTGTTATGTGGTATGATATGTTTGATCAGTTCGTTGTCTATAGATTTCTATGTGATTATCTGTTATATGTGCACATGGTTGTTTGGCGGTTGAGGCTTATCTGCTTTGTGCGAAAGCCAGTAGACCTAGGCATTCCAACCTGTTGGCTGTGGGCCGTGAGTATTCCATCCCGAGGATGATTGGACTCATAGTATGTGGGCATTCCAACCTGTTCATTGTGGGCCTGGGGGTATTCCATCCCTAGGATGATTGGACCCATAGTATGTTGGCATTCCAACCGATTGGTTGAGGGTCTGGGGTATTCTAACCCGATGGTTGACTGGACCCAAAGTATGTTGTTTATGTTTATATTTGTATTGTCATGAGTATGAGTATTTTGGGGGAACTCACTAAATTTTCGGGCTTACAGTTTCATTTTATTGTTACAGGTACACCAGGGGATCGCGGCAAGGCGAAAGCGTGATCATACAGCTCCTCATGTTTTTTTTTTTTTTTATGTTTCTGGGAAAACTCTGATATTAGACTATTTTGAAAATAAACTTGTAATAACTATATTGATTTTAAATGTTTTGAAAAAGTTTTAAATATGCTTGAATTTTAATGTTACATTACCGTCCTAAAATTTAAATTGTATTTTAAAAATAAGATCCAATTACAAAAAATAATAATAGTAAACAAATAAAAATTGAAAATTTCTTATAAACAGTTCCCATTTTTGAATAGTTGTGTTATAAATACTTACCATTTTCAAATATTTATGTTAAAAAAAAAAAAAACAAATATTTGAAAGATTTTACCAATTACTAAAAAAAAACTAAAAATTAAGAATTCTTTAAAAATTATCACCTGTCAATTAATCTATTTAGAAAGAAAACATATGATATTTAGAAGTTTTATTTATTAAACCAGGTAGATTTTTTTTAGAACGGTAAATCTAATCTACTCCTACACTACTTCTAAGTTTCCACTTATATTCATCACGAGACTTTAACCCTCAACCTAAAAAAGGAAGAGCAACACCGGATATCTTGCATTTTATTTATATATTAAAAGAAGAAAAATTAATATGGAAAAAGAAGTAATTAAGCGGCCAAGAATTGACAATGGGGTTGACTTCTTTAATCTGAAACCCACTTTTGGTTACTTTTGTCACGCGGTTCAGAACAATTTCTACTCACTTTCCTGAATGTTACATGATTGTTTCGAAACTTTATTTACTTTTTATTAAAAACACATTATAAAATTGAGGTGGATTTTCAAGATTTTTTTTTTTTTTTTTCATTTAACTTTTATTGATTAAATTCTTTGAATTAAAAAAGATGCTACGTGTAACTACAAAATTTTTAAAAAAAAAAAAATAACACAATTTTGTGATATGGACACGTGTAAGCGATATATGTATTTTAAAAGATTCACAAATGGGAGTTTAGTTAAGAGGCATTTAGATTTTTTTTTAACGGGCAATACAAATACAAATACGTAATATATTAACACATAATTTCATCTATATCGACCACCGAACTTGAAGCTTTAACCTTAAATAAGTAAGGTGCCACCTGATATTACTGGGCTAGAAGCCCTTTGGTAAAAGACATTAAAATTTTGATTAACTTGAATCGGATATTTGGAATTTTAGAGTTGAAATAATTAGATTTGAATTAACGTTTTAATGATTGCAAAATATATATATATATATATATATATATATATATATATATATATATATATATATTGTAATGTGTTCCTGTTCATTAAAAAAATAATAAATTATGATCAATTTAGTTAATATCCTTATTTTATATTGCTTAAATATATGGTAGCTGGTGACTCGTAACCGGACTTCATAGTTTTTCTTTATTATATGAGTGTTTAGAAAAAATAACCGTAACTTTTCAAATGTATAAAACTACATAAAACAACAAAATGTTTAAAAAGATAAATATATAAATACATATTTAAAGGCAATTATGAAAATCGATATTAAAAGCTCTAGAGTGTTTTCTTACATTCTTCATAAAATGTTTTTAGATTTGGAATGATTTATTTAAACTAAAAATTAAATATTAAATGATGTTTGTTTAAATTGAATGTTATGTTAAAACTAAAAGCTAGAAACTTTCAAACCAGTTCTAAAACTAATTTAATACTAATTTTTGTTAAATGTATCTTGAAGAAAAAGAATAAGGTGTTGTTTGTTTTTTTTGAAGAAAATTTGTGTGAAATCTGCGGACCACCTCTGTAGTCCTCTGTAGCAGAAGAGGTGGAACAAACGGCTGTAGCATGTAATAAAAAGTATGTTTGTTTTTTAACGTCTGCAGACTGCTGTAGTAAGTTAAACTAAGGCGTGAAAAGGTTTGAAACAGTTGGTTTAGTGTTGCATCACGCAACACACGCGCAACAGTTTTTAAGTCAGAAGTTTTCTGAAAAACAAATAGTTGCGAATGACCAAGTGCTGCGGGACGTAACAATAAGTGGTTTGCAATGGTTTTTTTTTAAAAAAAAAACACCACCTAAGTTTTTTCAACAATATTATACTACTTTTATATGCTTTGGAGAAAGTAATTTACTGGGAAACAAAGATGTCAATTCGTTGACTTAAGGTGGTGTGAATGCTACACCCAACATTCCAAAAAAACAGTGTTGGTGCGTGCTACCACTTATTAGTAATAAACGTTTAATATGATTTTAAGAAGATAAATTACTAAAAAATTACTAAGAAGAAAAATTACTAAAAAATTAAATAAATAAATTTACGAAATTTTTTCTTAATTAACAGATATATTGTTAAAAAATTCATAATTCGATTCCGTTTTTATGTTTTCCAACACAACTTAAGGGATTTTCTAACCTAAGGGTACATATAAAAAATATTAATTATAAAAAATATTACCATAATTAAATTCGAAATACATTTATTATGGAAATTATTAATGCACTTCATATATAATTATTGTAATATTTCTTATTATTAATGTATTTTATAATTAATTATGATAATATATATCTTCAATTAATGCTTATTATATATATGTTAAGGTACATATTAGAAAATCGGTATTTACTTATTTTTCATTTTTGCTGTCATCAAATGAGCATGGACTAGAGTAAGTAGAGTAGTATATAAAGGAAATGGGAGATGCACTTATCTCCAACACAATTGATTTACACTTTACACCTACAAAAGTGTGTATTTTATTCGCACCCATGGCAGCAGTCACCAGTTGTCTTCCTCTTTCAGCAACTATTCTTCTTCTTCTTCTTTTCCTTTCCTCTACCTCCATTGCTGTCCCGATCTCAAGTAAGTAATCATCCTTTCTGCCCTCTATTGGTTCCCTTAATCTGTTGCGAAATTGCATGCGCATGCAACCTCAATAATCTGATACATTAAACGTGTACATGGTGTCATGGTTTATTTACTAATTGAAATTTGTTTCATAGTTTAAACCCTGGAGGTTATATATACTATATGTTATCGCGTTGAACTTCTTAGGTTTGGTGTGTGTCTGAGAAATAATCTATGTTAAAAAGCACACAGTTTATTTAATTGTTGGAAATCTGTTGAGTCGAAAGTTGAAACTCTAATTAAGTTATGTGTATATATGTTCTTGATGATTGAGATCTTTAAAAGTTCGTTTTGTAATGCATGTGTTATCGCTTATCACAGGAACAAGAAACCTCATGGATGAACGATCACTTGGACATGACAAAGTTTCAGGCTATATCCCATCGGTAAAGGAAAGTTGGGAGATCAGTGAGAGCAATATTGATATAACCGAAAGAATGAATCTTGAAGTGAACGATTATCCAGGATCTGGTGCAAACAACCGCCACACGCCAAGGCCATAGCAAGGGACAAGATCATATTGCAAACGACATATGAAACTAGAAGCAACATAAATAGAGTAGTAGCTACTAGAGTTTTATTTAGTTAATGATACGTACGAGAAAATCAGGCTAAGTAAACTACTACCTAACTACCTACAAGTATACAATTCATGCTACGTATACATTTATACGTTATATATGTATCTAGCTAGCTAGTACTACAATGATTCAAAATATAAGAATCTATACCAATGTATGTCACCAAGTTGTTGAGTGGTTGGAGTCTGAATATTGGTAGCAATATTAGATAATGATTGCGGTTTTACTTTAATCTTCGTTTTTGTATAAGAAGCAAGTTATGTCGTTAGTATGGACACAAGATTTCATATTAGGCGACTAAAAAATCAAATGGTGGCACATTTTCTATCACTTAGTTGCACATGTTGTTTAATTTGTAAAATTCAAAAATTTTATACTGCTTGTATAAAAGTCAGATGTTACCGGTGTCATTAGACACCAATAAGAACCATCCCTGCATGTCATGATATATAAAGTAACATTAAATGAAACATTTCATATTGTTAGCCACGTTATTAAGATAAATTAACGTAAAATGAAACAGGCTAAAGAGCACCTATACTTGACAAGTGTGTTTTTATAACACATGAAATATTTGATTAATTACAGCTTTTCATACTATAAGCTTGTTAGGTAGAAAGCACTCTTGATCTTGGAGCAAATATGGAAATTTAGTGGAGAAAGTGGAATATTGAGGTGGTAGGCAATCAGGAAAGTTGTGTATGGTTGAGTCTAGACCGAATTATTAAATTGAAATAATTTGGTTGAAAGTTGTGTATGGTTGAGTCTAGACCCAACAAAATTATTAATTTGAAATAATTTGGTTGGTTTAATTAGTTTTGTAAAGTAAGGTCTTTATTTGCTTGATCAGTTAAAAGTGTTGAATGAGTAACTTTATTATGTTAGATTTTCTAGTTATCAAATTAAGGTAATCGAAATAAAAAGTTTAAAGTAAACAAGTATAGGATTCAAGCGATTTAATTAATTAATTCAAATCAATAATAAAATTAGAGAATTATCATGGTTGTCAAAATCGCGACCCCCTGATCGTATCGTACGATCCTAGGTATGAAAAATGATCCAGATCGTAAAATGATTGTTTTTGTGGTAGGATCGCAGGTAGGATCGTAAGATTGTAGGTAGGATCATAGGATCGAGATCAGATCCGATCCTACCTTCCTTTGAATTTTTTTTTCAAATGAATTTTTTTTTACCATTTTATGTCTTTTACCCTTTACCAATTTACCATTTATCATTTTGTATTGTAGTTTATGATTAATATTTTGAAGTTTTTATAACTTTTGAACGAAAATTTGGATGTTTGAAATATTTTTTATGATTAAAAATTAAAAATTAAAAATTTTATTTTATTTTGTGGGATCTTAGGATCCCAATCCCGATCTTACGATTATGATCTTGCAAACTCAAAAACGATCCTAGGTAGGATCCCGATCTTGACAACCTTGAGAATTATATATATTTAATTTCCCATCCACAAAAAAAAAAAAGGATTCCGTATTTGAACACCGATAGTCAAATTTTGGAGTGTAGGTGCTTGTCTCTGATTATTGCTTTGTTTGTTTTTTTAAGAAAAACCACTTTTAATTATTTTTTATTGTGTCGCGTAGCACACTCGTAACATTTGGATGTTGTTTGTTTTTCTGAGATAAAATGATTGCAATCTGCAGACTACATTTGCATACATCTGTAGTAGAAAAGATTGATCAAATGTTTGCAGTTTTAAAGAAGAAGACTCTTTGTTTTTTTTAACATCTGTAGGTTGTTAGAATAAACTAAAATCTAATTAAATTGATTTTTTTTCAAATTAATAGTTTTTCAATAATTTTATGATTTTATTATAGATAATTAACAAATGTATATCAACTTTTATGTATTATTGTATAAAAAATGAAAATAAAACGGTAAGAATTAACATAAAGTAGATGGAAATAAAATTTGATTTTAAATAAAAAATTTTAATTTACTTTTTCAATTAAATCAATTAAAAATTGATAATAAATATTTTTCTGAAGAAATGAACGATATTATATTAAATAATATTTTATAAAATTTGACACAAAATAATATAAGACAATATTATGATGTTTTTTTTTTCATATCTATATAAATAGCTCCAACGATCATTATTGTAATTAAAGTTATGTTCGGCGTATTAGCTGAAAAGCTAGCTCATAGCTGAAAAACTAGCTATTAAATAAAAAACTAGCTGATAGTTGAAAAACTAGCTGATAAAAAATAATATTTGGTAAACGAGCTGCAAATCTAATTAAAATATATAAAATTACATAAAAGAATATGTAAGAACATGTGTTTCTATATTAAATTAAGGACACAATTACAAAAATGGTCCCCATGGTTCACCAAAAGTCACAAAGTTAGTCCCTACTAACTTTTTTTTTATGCAAATGGTCCTTGTGGTTTGCAAAACTTACAAAGTTGGTCCTTTTTACTAACATCGTTAGTATAGAATCGTTAGGGACTGAATCTGTAAGGGCATTTTTCATCTTTTTAAGTATAAAGGGACTAAATTCGTGACATTTGATAAACCACAGAGACCATTTTAAGTTTGTTTGGAAAAAAAAAATTAATTGACTAAAGGAAGGGGGGAAGGCTCGAACTTGAAACCTTCACCCCCGTAAAATGACAATGAGACTTAACCATTTAAGCTGGAAGCTCACTTGATTATAACTTCCTAAAACCAAATTATATAATAACGAAAACGTTAATACATAAATAATAAATAAATTATTAAAAACATTTTTTACGTAATTTTTTTTAAATAAAAAAATATTTTAGTCGTATTATAAAAATATAGTTTGTTACAAACAATTTATATGTATTTTATATATTTATTTAACATAAAATATATATTTTTTTATATCTTTAAAAAATACGTTTTCGTATATAAATATGTTTTCGTAAAATATATTTTTTTATATCTTTGAAATAATAATAATTAACACTAATAATGACATAAAAAAATATATAAATTATTTTGGGTTGCTAGTTCTAAAACCGTTTTTCCGGTTATATGTATTAAAAACAATTTAACAACAATTTTGTTATGTATTTAAATAATTTATATGGTATTTTTTTAATGTCAAGTATACTATTAATTATGGTAATTTCAAAAGGCTATATAACTATTTATTTTCATCTTCATTTTAACCATACGATTTAGAACTTACGATTAAGATGAAATACGTATTTTAAATAAGATATATAACCGAATCAGTTTTTTTTAAATACATATAACCGAAAAACGGTTTTCAGAAAACCGATTGGTCCAGTCAGTTTTTTGAAAACTGTTTTTCGGTTATATGTATTTAAAAAAGATGAAATACGTATTTTAAATAAGATGAAATATGTATTTTAAATAAGATGAAATACGTATTTTAGAACTAGTAACCCAAAAGAATTTATATATTTTTTTATGTCGTGAGTAGTGTTAATTATTATTATTTCAAAGACATAAAAATATATTTTACAAAAATATATTTTTTTATACGAAACGTATTTATTAAAGATATAAAAAAATATATTTTATGTTAAATAAATACATAAAAAATACATACAAATTTCTTGTAAAAAACTATTTTTTTTATAATACGATTAAAATAAATTTTGTTTTATTTAAAAAAAATTATGTAATAAAAATGTTTTTAATAATTTATTTATTATTTATGTATTAACGATTTTGTTATTATATAAGTTAGTTTTAGGAAGTTATAACCAAGTGAGCTTCCAGCTCAAATGGTTAAGGCCTGTTGTCATTTTAGGGGGTGATGGTCTCAAGTTCGAGCCTTCCCCCGTCTTTCAGTCAATTAATTTTTTTTCCAATCAAACTTCAAAAATGGTCCTTGTGGTTTGTCAAATGTCACGAATTTAGTTCATTTATACTTAAAAAGACAAAAATGCCCTTATAGATTCAATCCCTAACGGATATATACTAACGGTGTTAGTAAAAAGGGCCAACTTTGCAAGTTTTGCAAACCACAAGGACCATTTGCATCAAAAAAAGTTAGAAGGGACTAACTTTGTGACTTTTGGTAAATCACAGGGACCATTTTTGTAATTTTGTCTAAATTAAGGGGTATATTTAGAAAATTAAAAAAACTCCTAAAAAACTGGTCTAAATAACTTTTCAAAAAGTTAGCTTATAAGCTATTTTTTGGTTTACCAAACACGATAACATAAAAAAACTCAAAAAACAAGCTAGCTTATCAGCTAGCTGTGGTGCGCCAAACATAACCTAAATGTTTATTTATAAATTTGTCATAAAGGTCATGATTGTGTCGTCGAACATTTTTTCTTTAAATATTGTAACTTTTTTTTCCAAATTGTTTTAATAGATAAAGTTGGAATAAATCCAAGTAAAAAAAACATGTTTTTTTAGGCTACAAGATGTCTGAAGCTGTTTGAAAACTGTGGTTTACATATGCATCGAGAAGAGAATGCGTAGACTTTTTAGGTCTGCGGTCTTCAAAAAAACAAATAGTCTACGAAGCCTAAATTCTGCGTGTGGTCTGTGCGGCGCAGACAGAACACACTGGTCTTTTACAACTGTTTCTTTTTTGGAAAACTTTTGACTTAAAAATTATTGTGTACATGTGCTGCTTGGTGCAACAATGGATCCTCGTCTTCAAATTTTTTCTCACATTACTTTAAGTGCTTAAATTATTCAACATAGACTTTTTTTTTTCCAAAGCATGTTTATTATTTTAATAATATTATAAAGAATATTATAAACAATTCAAATATATTTTACATAATTTTAAAACCATTTGGTAAATTTCATATGAATATTTTTTTTTATATTACATTGTCTATAAATAAATATTAATAAATTATAAATTTAATCACTAAAATTTCCGGATTTATTGAAACTAGCCGGAAAAATAACCATTGTCTTCGAAAATTTAACAAAGTGAACATGTTTTTTGTTAAATCAACAATTTTATTTATTGTTATTTGGCAAATATTATGTTTAATTATTTTATATAAATATCTTTAAAAATCATATCATTACAATGATCTTTATATCTGATTTGCATATGATTAAAACTAAATTAATTTTTTATTTAGAATTATATTAACTTATTGTATGGTTAATTTCAGTTTACCTGTAGATGTTAAAAAACAAACAAATTTCTTATTGTAGATTGCAGTCGTTTAGCGGACCCCTTCTGTCGTAGAGGGTTGCATATGTGGTCCACAAACTTCATACTTCTTATTGCAGGCTACAGCCGTTTGGTCCACCTTTTTTATGACAGAGGGTTGTAGATGTAGTCTTCAATTTCGTTTGGGTGCTACTACACGTACCCCCTTACTGACATAAATT